TGCCAGTGGCTTTCCTCTTTCTAATGTCACCTGCCTCACATGGCTACTGCTAAATTTATTTTTACAGTTCTCTAGCTTCTGCCATGTGCATCCATTAGCCTAGAAGAGTAGGGAAATGGTGATGGCTGAATCTGTTGGAGTAACCTAGCTGAGCTGGGCACCTCGCAGTATGTTTTAGCCAGAACAATGAGAGAACTCTTGTGTGGTTGTTCTTCCTATTCCAGCTTTAATGAAAACTGGATCTAGTCTGTAGGTGTCATGGTAGCTCTTAGTGTCGTTTGTGTTATGAAGCACTTTACAGTGCAAGGGTTAGGTTCTGTCATTCTTGATAGCATTTATTCTACAAGTAATCTAATTAGTTCCAATAGGATTGGGAGGAGGTAGTACTCAACATGATTAAGGGTGACAGAAGTGTACCTTGAGGTTTTCATTGCAATGCATTTTACCATGCTGTGTGCGCAGAAGTAGCTCAGAATTACTAATGAGACCTGTGGTCCTCATGTCCTGCACTGTGGGAGAGAACAACATGGTTCAAGATACCAGACCTATCACTTGGTCTTTCTGCAAATTGGCACAGGATTTTTTTTTTTTTTAATTTCTACCTGGACATCCAACAGAATCAGGGAAAAGGAAGTATAGTCTACAGACTTGTGTGAAGGATCGCAATTTCTGTTGTAATAGCTAGTATGACCATGAAAGTTAGCTCCAGTGATAAAAATGAAATATTAAATTTTTTAGTCTCACTGAAACTTGCTGGACTGCATACAATTAAACCTACATCTATCAAGCCATTTCACAGGAGCCATTAAGAGCATAATAAGTGCATCTTAAAATGTTAGCATGGACAAATGTGTGCTGTCATAAGGCATAGAGACGAGCTGTTTAAAGTTTAGCTGGAAAACTGCTTAATCTCTAACATGTTTTGTTCCTTTTTTGGCCTACGGAAAGGCCGTTCATTATTTCAAAATGTCTTGGCCCCTTTCCATCTGTGAGACCTCATTTATTCTTTTGAAACTTTGTAGGCTTCACAAGCTCAGCATCTGCAATATTGCAGACAATGAATTACTGTGGCTAGAAATCTTGGGAATTAAAAAAACCCTCCTCCGTAGGAGCACAGCCTTGTTACAGAACTGGGACTTGTTCTGAGGAAGCGCAGTTGGCAAAAAAAAATTTTTTTTCAAAGATAACTGCTTTTTCCTTTTTTAAAAAATGAACAAGGGAGTACTGATACTGGGGACTCGCTCTTTAAATAAATGGAATCTTTCTCTCCTCTCTTGGCAACGGCAGGAGTATTCTTGTGCTGTATGACAAGGCTCTCCTCGCTAGTGCTATATTTATCTTGTAGCTGTACACACATTTGCAAGAGGTTGTTCAATAAGAGGAAGGCAATGAGCCAATGCAGTTTAAAGAAAGTTTGTTTCGGTGTAGTCTAACTTTTTGGGTTGGCTTAAAGACAAAGCCTACATACTTTTGGAAAACCAGGGAGTGTAATTAGTGCTTTGAAAAATATTCCCTGAGTTGTCTGTGGAAAGATCAGGGCTTTGTCAAAGAAGAAAAGCTCTAAAATGGAGTTCAATAGGTGCACAAGTGCACCCGTAGAAGAGGCTCGGAGAAGACAAGAGGCCGGGGAGGATGCTACTCCTGATTCTGGCAGTAGAGTTGTCAGTGAAGAGCTGGATCTGGTACAAATGTATCTTACCTGTTTACCTGACAGATACATGAAAGCAAAATTCAGCCTGACTGCATATCTGGCATGCTGGTTGGTTCTGAAACTCTGCAAGGTAAGAAATTCTAGTATTAATGTATTAGCATTATTAATAGACTTTTTATGTGCTGAGATGGCAAAATGAGAAAAGCCTCACAGCTGTGCAACCTGATAGCCTTTTAAACGATAGCTCTATGCTGCATGGTCATCTTCAGTGGCGTCTTAATAAAAGGGACATATAGGTATTTACTAGTTATTAAAAGAGGTGTCTGCAAGAAATTCATACTGTTTAAAGCTGAACAGCATCTAGGGAGTACTACTGGAACATCTAATGAATAACTGCTACCACCTTTCCTATGTACTCCATCACGCACATGAAAGGACACAGGAACTGTATATTAAAGCTTGTCTTGGGCATAAGAAAAGAAGCACATTGTATACCTCTCAGGAATGCATGGTAGCTCTCTTTATGCTGTCACATTTACCAGATAAACTCAATTGCTGAGAGGTGCCTCCTTCAATTTAATGATAAAGTTGTGTACTTTTGAGTTTCAGCATGGTTGTTGTTGTGTTTTTTTGTTTTTTGTTTTTACTGTTATTTTATTTCTATTTTGTGCTTGGTAAGTAACACAAGCATAACTGAAATGAATGAAATCTCAGTTAAATGGCATATCATCAAGTGGAAGGCAATATGTTTTTGATCAATTTATAGAGCCTGCTAATAAATTATGGAATGTCCCACTCACCTTCTAGAACATTGGGAGCCAAGCATTTTTGGCAGGCATGCCACAAATTAGCCCTGCACCCTCCCCTGGTGCTACTCTGATCCCCTTCCCCTGCATGATCTGCTGCTCAGTTTTCTGCTTCCCTCTCTGTGCTCCCTGCCTGATTTGGTGTTTTGCTTTCTTCTTCTTGCCCTATCTGCCACTGTGCTGCCTGCCCTCCCTGATCTGCCATGTGCCACACACAGAGGCTGTCCATGCCACTTGTGGCATGTGTGCCATAGGTTGGCCACCCCTGTTACAGAAGCTTGCTTTAAAATTTAGGCCTGATATATCAGTTAGGCAATATGCAATCCTGCATATTGCTTAAGTTTAAGGACAGGGAATTTGTGATTAGGGTCAGAAATAATAGCTGTAAAACTCCCACACCTCTCAATTTCTTCAACTGCTATGTATCCCTATGATTCTGTGTTGCATGTTATTTTATTTGTCCTTATGTCACAAAAGTACACTCTGTCTTCAACAGTTGAAGAGATTATAGAAGTTTTTTTGTGTGTGTGTGGTGTTTGTGTGTTCCCACCTCCTATCTCCATTTATCTTTTTCTGGTTCCCCATGCCTTCCTCTTGACAGTCTTCCAGAAGGCATACATGTGAATGCTCAAAAAGAAAAATTATCCTATTAACTTCCAAAAGTTACAAAGGTTTTTGTCTGAGGCATGTGCTATATGCAGGGCACGTGATGGTGTGGGGGTAGGAATTCAAGGCTTCAAGATGGAAAGCACCCCAGAAACAGCAATCCCTTCTGTAAAGAGACTGCCTGTCACTACGTCATATTGGTGCAGCATTGTCAATTAAAGGTGCAGTTTGAACGTTGCTTGGAAGAATAGGGCTGTTTCATGTTGATGTCTGTTTTGCCGTTTTGAAGGGACAGTGTTTTGTTTTGTCATTTTGTTTCAAAGTGCTCTTCCATTTCGTTTCGTCAAAACTGTTTCACTGTTTCAACCATTATGATGTTTCGCCCTTAGGCTATAATTGGGAATCAGGATTTGTCATTTCATACCTGATTCAGATGAAAATTGCAGAGATGGTAGCCCCTTTGAGGGCATGAAGCATGCAAAGTTTCAAGGGGATAGGTTCAGAGGTTTCTCAGAAACTGCACCTCAAACTGCAAAAAGCAGAACTCAAGACGCATGCTGGCAGCGGCAGGCTCCTGTCATCTGGTGCGCAGATCCAGGGGCCTGCACTCCCGGGAGGGCCGCAGGGCTGTGCTCTGTTTAGATTTGTATTTTAGTTGCCCTGTTTATGGTGCATTTGGGTTTTCAGAATCCCAGTCCAAGGAACATGGGCACGATGAGCTTTTATCCAGATTTTTTAAAAATCTCTTCTTTGGATCACTGCACTCCAAGGCTGGCCCTGCTCCAGCCCCTGGCTCCGGGCCCCCCAGGGTGGTGTGGGGCCAGGGTCGGTGTGGGGCTGGGAGACAGCAGTTCATGGGGCCCACCGGTGCCAGGCAATGACCCCAGGTGTGGGGGAAGGGGCGGCCGCACAAGTGCAGCAGGCCCTGGCCCCAATTCCAGCTCTGCTCTGCTCCCACCCAATCCCTATCTGGTCCCAGCCCCATTTTCTCCCCCCCACCACCTCCCCAGGCTCTCTCTCCTGCACCCACAGACTTTTTGCGGGGGGCATGCACTCAGCCCCCCTCAATTTTTTTCTCCTTCCACCTATGGTGGCTGACCACTTGGCCATTTGGGGCCAATAGGATGTGCTACAACACTTCAAAGTGAGCAACTGAAATGAGCACATCTTCTGAACAATAGCTGCCCAGCTGGTAGAGTGGAGGCACCAGAAGACATGACAGCAGTACCACATGAAGGCCAACTGTGTAGCCACAGCCTGCTGGCCCACAGGCAAAGGTACCTTTGCTTCAGTGCCTTTACCACAGCCCAAGTGGCCATGCAGTCCCCATCTGGGTCTGGCAAGCATATAGCCATGGGGCCACAGGTGCAAGGGGACAGATGTTGTCAGAGGTGGCAGCAGGTCACAGCCAGGCAGCAGCCCCCACTGCCACACTGCTGCAGTGGGTAGAGGGTGCAGGGGCCACTCTAGGTCAGGGATGCTGCAGCAGTCCAAGTGGCACAGGGGGATACTGTCCCTAGATACCAACTGGCTGGGCCTCAGAAGCTCCTGAGGGCAAGTAACCGTAAGCTGCTCACTAGGGCAGCTTTTTATACTGCTGAGGCCAGCACAGGTGCTGAACCCCACCTCCAGATCCCCCTGACTGAAGATCTGGAAGAATCTGGGCAGGGTCAGTTTGCCCCAGCAGCACAAATTTGTCTCCTGGGGGTGCAGGCCCTTGGATCTGTGCCAGATGACAGGAGTCTGTGGCTGCCACATGGGACCAGCACTGGGTGCAACCTGCACCCAGTGCCAGGGAAGATTGATGCTGCCACTGGGCAGCCCAGTGGCAGGAGGCAGGGGAGAGCCAGGGCTGCGCTTCAGTCAGCTTTGTAGCCCCATGGAGCTCAGCCCGGTGGTGGGAGGTGGAGCACAGCCCTGGCTCTTGTTGCCTGTTGCTGCCAGGCTGAACTCCATGGGGCTGGCAGAGCTGTTTGGAGCACAGCCCTGGCTCTCCCCGCCTCCCACCACCGGGCTGTGCTCTGAGTGGCCCCATGGACAGCCCGGTGGTGGGAGGTGGAGCACAGACCTGGCTCTGCCCGCTTCCCGTCTCTGGGCTGAGCTCCCTGGGGCTGGTGGAGCTGGTCGGAGCACAGCCCTGGCTCTCCCCTGCCTCCCGCCACTGGGCTGCTTCGAAACTTGAAATGTTTCAAGTGCCCTCATTTTGTTTCAAAGCTGTTTTGAAGCTTTTTGTTTCATTTTGATTTCGCTGTTTTGAGCTCAAAACATGTCAAAAACAGCTTCAAAATGAAACACTCAATTAAATTTTACACAGCCCTAATAACTCTGCCACCATTAGCCCTAGGATAGATGCAGTTCTATCACTATGGAAGCATCCAGATCCACTTAGGTCTAGCCCCCATATGGGCCCATGTGGATGGAGAAGTGACACTGTGATTCTGCCTTCTTCCTGGTCCCCTCCTTCAGAGTCAGTTTTCAGCCTGGTGAATACTGGGAGAAAGTTGGTGAAGGTGAAAGTGTCCTTTCCCCTATCTTTAACCAGTTACCTAAAGCACAGGAAGAATCTAAACATTTAGAGGATCTCAGTTAGGATTAGATGTGCAGTAATACACTTTTACCTAAAAATCATTTTCTGTTTACCACAACATCAGGTTTGTATCTCTTGTTTTCATGTATATCCCCTTGTCAGGTTCTCATGCTGTGGTCTAGAGCGCTCCTGTTGCATCAGGAGAGAACTAAAATGCAAAATTTCCTTATTGTTTTACACTTAAGCATTTACTTTTATTTGATCTATGGATCTTAGACCACTTTCTATCCTGTTCACAATTAGATATCTAACCCTGATATTCGATTATGACATACCTCAGGTGCATTTCTGGGAGAACATGGTGTTTGGGGGGAGCTTAAATGATGTCTGCCTTGAAGTGCATTTTTAATCTGGTTTAAACTGCCTCTTACTACCCAAAGCAATATTCTACTGGTGGTGGAGGCAGGAAAACTTCTTGTGATTGTAACAAAGAACTTTTGCTCTATACTATCTTTGTGTGTTGCTGTTCACTTTCTGGGGGTGCAGAACATTTTGTCTCTGGGATCCTCCTATTGCCGTGCAGGCATGATGAAGGTTGTTTAGGAAAAATTTTGCAGCATTACAAGCAAAAGGGAACAATTGTATTTTGACCCTCTGGGTTAAAATCTGTGCGGAACAAGGCACAGGGGACTCAATGGTGGGAGTCTACTACAGACCCCCTACCCAGGATCAAGACCTGGACCAGGAGCTTGCCATGGAATTGGCTGAGGCTGCATGCTCCCGGTGCATGGTTGTCACGGGAGACTTCAACTGCCCAGACATCTCGTGGGAAGAGTGCTCAGCCAAATCCAAGCAGTCGCAAAGCTTTCTCATGTGTGGATGAGCTCTATCTGACCCAGGAAGTCTATGGGCCAATGAGAGGTAAAGCGCTGCTTGACCTGGTACTGGCAACGGGGGGACGACCTAACGATCCAAGGGAGGCTGGGTGATGGTGACCACGAGCTGATCGCTTTCACCATCTGCCTTAAAGCTGGCAAGTCAGTCAGCAATACAGAAGTCCTCGACTTCGAGAAAGCTGACTTCAACAAGCTCAGGAGGCTTGTCAGTGAGGCCCTAAAGGGCCACAACCCAAAGGGGAGGGGAGTTCAGGATGAGTGGTTGCTCCTCAAGGGAGTAATCCTGGATGCACAA